ACCTATAGCGAATATGCTTGATCACTTTAGATTTCTTTTACTGGGATCTACCAGATTTTGTCTATACAGACATATTAAGGCCTTAACTGTCCATCTCATAAAGCCCAGGTGAGCTGAGCCCTCTCCAGGGTTTCCTGCCTCATTAAAAGGGATGCTATTTTCACACTCCTTGAGCAGGGCTGATTGCCCTCAAAGATGCTTCCTTTATCAGTCTAATTTTATGTCAGAAAATCCACTATAGGAGAAGTTGCCCTCACATTCCTCACACAGGGCTGCCTGCAGGAGGCCTTAAAACCAAAAAGTTAAACCTTGTTCAGTGGGCCCCAGATATCTGACACAAGCTGCAGAAGTTAGAAGGGTCTGCAGGAATGAATTGGTCTAAGTTGAGGTGTTTTATAGTAGAAAGGATACAGAAGGAAATGATAGATGGAAATGAGAATGATGACATTAGCAATCTACAGGAAAGAAGGCCAGTCAGTAAACAGGAAAAAGTTATGCTTCCCTGGATCCAGACAGAAAGAAGGGACATTTCAAGCAAAAATGTCCAAAGCTGCTAGAGAAAGAAAAAAGAAAGTGTTCATGATGGAGTAAGAGGAAGTTTCAGATTGAGGTGGTCATGGGTCTGCAGCCTGAGGGAACCCATGTTAACTGCCAATATAAGGAGAAAGCCTGTTGAACTTTTAATAGATGCTCATGCAGATATGTCAGTGGTTACCCAGCCGGCGGCCCCACTTGCAAACTAGAGAGTACTCTGTGTTTTCCCTAGGTCTGACAATTCATGTACCCTCAGTAACGGTAGAGTTGGTGAGACATAAGAGTAGGCCAGTTTATTTCAGATAATACCCAATGGCTATAAAATATAAAAAAAGAGATTAAACCCCCATTTAAGAGATCTCTGCTAATGGACCTACAAAATGTTCTGACTAGTCCTTTTATAATTACAAACTTAATAAAGGTTATTATCTTCCAGATCCTTCTGCTAATGTCTCAATAGCTGTTCAAAACATATCAAATCAATGGTATATGAGATGCTGAAGACCCCTGGACCCTATCTTTTCTCATTTTTATGGGAAGTCATTTCTATCTACTTGATACAAATCTTTGACTATGTTCATAATTATCCTGTTGTGACTGTCCTGCTATAATGCTATATATGGTTAGATTTCTAAATTTCTGTGTAAAATTGTTTATTCATATTTTTAAAATATCTTTTATTTTTTAAATTTTTTCCTTCATATTCTGTTAAGCCTTAAAGTTTAACATATCAATACTAGATGGAAAATACCTGTTTCATGTTATGTCTAAGATGTTTGATATTCAGACAGATAGTGAGGTTAAACTTAATTGCATATGTTGTAGGGTAACAGTAAGTTTCTCTTCTGGAGGGTTAACAACCTAAGTTTGCAGATCAAAAATTAGAGAAAAAGAAGGGCTAGAAAGACAGCCAACATTCTGGCTCTAGTCTTTCAAGGTCAGTGAAGACTCAGGACATAGGAGAACCTAGACTGTAACATCATGTAACTCAGTTGTGTCCCAAATTTTCTTATCAAGGAGATTATGGGGCCACGGAGCTGTGATCGATGATGTAGAGTGTGCCTAAGGAGAGTCACATGGACAGAAAACATTTTCTCAGGCTTTCACAGAGAGCAAATTGGTCAAGCAATGGCCGTGACTCATCCACATGGCTGACACTGACAAAGGATCTACAAACTGCGGTACAGAGCAACAGGATAAATCCTGAGGGGACTTGACTGACCTTAGCAGATACAAAAGATACATTTCTTCTTATATAGGTCTTGCTTTATCTTGGTTTTAACAATCCAGCAAAGAAATATAAAAATGAGGTATAAAAAGTAAAGTGATATTAATATGCTGAGCTGTGAAAGGTTCAAGTCAACAACTTCTGACACTGCCAGTCCTATGCATAACCCACTACTTTTATGGACCACTGGACTATATTGGATTATTTTGCTAAATTCATGCACCTACAATATTTTAACGGCAGTGGAATACCCATCTCTAACAAAACTAAACCAAAAAAAGGGGATACAAAGGAAGGACCATTTTGTATCTATATATACAAAACAGGATAGATATACAACTTTCTCTTAATTCAATGAGAAGATTTGTACTGATAATATTTGGACAGGATATCATGTCTGCATCTTGTACTATGAATAACCACTAAGAAGATAACAATATGCAATGTATTGATTATTGAAACTGTCCTATTAAGGTTTTGAAACTGTCTCATTGCTGTTTCTCAATAAAATTAATAATAAAAAAATTATCCTGTTGTGATCATTTGACTCATGCATGTTTGTTTCTTTGGCTTTGTCTCTTTCAGACTTAAAGCTATTCTGCCTACTCAAGATAAAAATGCCTGATGTCTGCTGAGGGCTTTTAGTTAGAATCTCTGGAGAGTAGCTCTGACTGTTGGTTCACAACTATGACCCCTTTCAGCCTGAAGAAGCCAGAGCAGTCATTGCTCATGGTTCCCTCATAGCAGTTCAGGTTACATCTTCAGAGGGGTGAATGTTGTAGGCAGCTGAATTAGAACTATTATAGGCAGTCAGACAGGGCCAGGCCCTCAAGGAGACAAGATGGAAGACAAGGTGACTTTGCAACTTGGAAAAGATAGACAATCCCATGTGGGCCATACCTCAAGACCAAAACAAAAGAGGAAACACACAGCTACATATTCCCCAGGGATGGGCATCAAGGATTGATATTTTAAATAGCTATCAATCACCTTGAAAGAGCTCAAATGAGTCACTAGCCCAACTCCCAACAGGAAGAGACTCTGTCCTATATTCATGCCCACTTGTTAGGTGACTCACTTCCTCATTTGGCACTGGATTTAATCAATTTTACCTGAGCAATGGTGCTTGTAATCTCATTGGTTGACCATAGTTTTGTCCCGCCTCATGCCCACCTAAGTTAGTTCACATGTCTTCTCCACCACCTTAGACCCGCCTCACCACATGGTTTCCTTCTATAAAATTCCCTGGAAGAGACAGCTTCCTGGGGACCACCCACTCAGGGGCCCCCCTCCTATCCTTCTTCAACAGGAGCTTTCTTTCCCCCAATAAATATATTCTGCTCACCACCTCCATTTGTTCCTAAAATTCATTCTTCAGTTTTAGAGAATGTGAACTTGTCTCAGGTACCTTTAGGTTGGGAGATCATTTTTCCCCTATGTCATTTGGAGGTTCCCTATGTCACTATGACCACACTATGGAAAGCTCCAGGGAACCACATACAACGTATTTATAGTTTCTCTCAACAATTTTTTTAAACCATTTATTTACTTATTCATTTATTTATTTGGTACAGAGTCTCACTACACAGCTCAGTCTCACAGTGACCCTCCTGTCTCAGTCTCCCCACCACTGGGTTTATAGGCATCCACTACTATACCCGGTTCTGGAGCTCGCAAGACATGTGGTACTGGCACTTAGACCGCTGAGCTATCTGTCCCACCCTCAAATAACCATTTTTAATGTGTTAATACTTAATATGAGAAAAATAAACAGTAGCAAAGGAACAATCAGTTATTATGGACAAAACTGGCATGGGCTTTTTCTATAAGCTTTTTGGAATAAATTTTAGCTGAAGGTAAGGAAGAAATTTGCAGTAAGTAGGATAGAGATGTTTGCCACTACCCAGGTTGTTCTGACTGATTGTAATTCAGGAAGGTCCTAGTCAAGGTTATGGAGTTTGTGAATACAGGAACATAGAATGGCACAGGGAAGGTTCTAGAACCAATCACCAAATGGAGAGGAAAGGCATCGATTGACTCAATTTAAAATGGTATCCTTGAGTGGAAATAAAATGTAAAAAAACTGCATTTCTAAGGTGTCACAGGAAGGGTAAGAAAAAAACTATGCCTCCATTTCCTGTTAGAAACAATTTACTTCGATCATCTTCCATCTTTTGTCAGGCTGCAGAGTCAGCTAAATTTGACCTCATCAAATATTTACAATCATAATAGAACCTCAAACAAAAATAGAACAATTTCAAAAATACAGAACATAATGATCAACTTAATCCCTAGGTCCGAAGTGTGATCCACAGAAAGTCTGTCCTCTATGACACCCCAAAGGCCGCAGTACACACTGTTAAAATTCCTAACACCAGTTACTCCACCTTGACAAATGATGACAAAATACCTACAATAGGGCTAATTCTGTCATTTCACATGCAATCTTACCTAGATAGCTTAATCTTCTTTATATTATTTTGTTCTTTATAAATTTATAAAACCAATCATCCCATTAATCAGCCCATGAATTATCTTTACTCCACCCACAAGTGAGACTGTCTTCACTGAGTTGAATCAACATTCAAATGGCTAATACATCCCATTGAGGATGATCAATTCCTGCTCAAAAGGAGCTTACAATCTGATGATTTGCTTAACTTTTAGAAAATAAACCTTCAGAACTTTCAGACTCCACAAATCCCATTCATTCATAGACTCTACAAATCTGATAATCTCAGATCCAGTGCAAGAAACAAACAAAAAGGAGTCCATAGGAAACTCTTAATACAGGAGTAACTATGAGTTATAATCAGATAATAAGAAAATTCCAGAGTATACACAGATATAAACCATATAGCCTCCTGTGCTTCTGACAGGATAAGAGTTGGGAGATAGCAGAGCAGGTCTTGACAAGCAGAGCCACAATTGATAATGAGAAAGACTAGAAACTAAAGCAAGTATCTGTCAGTCCAGTTGGGTGTGGCACTTTATGGTCCAACCTCCAACCAGGAAGCTGTGCCCTTAGGCAACTAGATTTTATCTTAGTTTAAAATGGTAGTAGAGGAACAATCAACTTTGAACAAAGGATAGAAGAAACGCCAGATTTCAGTTTTAAAGGATTAGTGACTCAGAGACCCTAAACAGAGTGGCTCCTCAAGTTCTGTATTACAGAGAGCAAGGGCAGAACAGAGTGAGGTGTGGGTGGTGTAGTTTTGTTGTTGCAGTTTTAGGTTACCTCTGCATCATATCTGACTGCAGCAGAGAATAATGAAAATGCATTCTCCACAGTAATTCCTCGCTTGATAATGTGCTGACAAAGTTTTTTCAGTCTGTTTTCACAGTAAGATGTCGCCAAATCCAAAAGACCTGAAAGTAAGATATGTGAAAGTTTTAACCCATTTGATAATAACTTACCATAATTTATAAATATACATATTTATCCTGGTGAATACAGCTACATAGGTAAGTCAGCAGAAGTTTCTAAGAAAATAATATTTGAATTTGAATAAATATATACTTTTTTGCTCCCTATCTCACCTCCAAAAGCATATTCTCTTTTATATAATTTCTTCTATAGTACAAAGGGGAAAAAAATATTTCCTCCTTCATTTTTGTTTCCAAAAATGCTAAATCCATTAGTAACTTATACTTTAATATGAAAGTAAGTCTGCAGTCATAAACTTTGTCCATAATTATTAACCATGATAACGATGATATATAATACTGTACTCTTTTTAAAGATGTTTATACTTTTGGGCCAGCCAGATAACTTAGTGATCTAAAGCACCTGCTTAGGCAAGCTTAGGTAAGCTTAGACAAGCATAGGGACCATGGTTGGATCCCTGGAACCACATGGTGGGCCAGTCCTGCCCCCAGGGTGGGCTGAGCTGGCCACAAAAAATAAAGATGTTTACTTTAAAAAAAACACATAAAAGCCAACATTTCTGAAATGTTCAACATTTCACTAGACTACCCTAAAAACGTGTGTGTGTGTATGTCCTTTTTTTTTTTTTTTTTTTTTTTTTTGAGATATATTCCTGACCACACAGCCTGGTGAGTCCCAACACAGCTTAGGTACCTATAGCATCTTCTGGTGGCAGATCCACTGTGTCAGTGTAGAGGTACTGGAGAAAGGCACGATACACGGGGTAGGAAAACTGGTCTATTTCTATCACCTCTTTCATGTCCTCATTCCAGTAGGATTGGAACATGGATCGAAAATGCTCACACCTGAAATGGAGAAGCAAATGTTACCATATAAAGGTGATGAAATCAGAAAAACTGATAACAGAGGTATCCTTAACTATTATATTTGGGCCTTCATAGAAAGAGATTATGACTTGTCATTACAAAACATCCCTGCAAGGGCCGGCCAGTAGCTCAGTAGACTGAAGCTCCTGCTTAGGCAGAACGTAGCAATTGGGGTTCGATCCTGGGTATGTGGTGATGGCCCCACCCCCGGGGCCCACTGAAACAGTGAATGAGACTTGGCAAGGTGGTATGTGCCTGTAATCCCAGTGCTTGGGAGGCTGAAAACAGGAGAATCATTATGAGCCTGATCTGTGTACTGAGACCCTATGGACCCTGTACTAAATACAAAAAAAAAAAAAAAAATCAAAACATCCCTGCAAGCACTTGGAAATGCACCTCTTACATACTCTTTCATTTCTGGTATCTCCTAATAAACATTAAGAATCACACATACTGCCCAGTGTAGGTGGAGTGTCTAGCACTCAACACCAGTTGACAGTACCCATTCTAATTAGGAGGCAGAAGGAGAAGGAGGAGGAGAAAGAGAAAGAGGAAGAGAAGGGGAAGCAAAGGAGGAAGAAAAGGAGACGAAGGAGGCGAAGGAAAAGAGGAGCTGCGGGGGAGAAGGAGGAGAAAGGGTACATAGAATTGCATTTTAAATAACAAAATTAGGGTTAGGGACATGGTTCAGTGACAGGCTATTTTCCCAGCATGCTCAACATGCTGGACCCTGGGTTCAACTCCTAGGACCACAAAACAAAAACAATGAAATGAAATGAAATAAAATTGAAATTCAATGTTAAAAATTCTGACTATATATTAAGTCAATGAAATTATTCACTTTTGTTTTATGTAATAAATGTAGTTTTAAAACTGGCTTAAGTGTCAACCAGAATGTATTAAGCTGACTATTGTTCCATTACCTTACGAGATAAATTTTCTTCCTTTCTAACTCATCTCTGGAGCAGCCATCACTCTCAACTACTTCTTTGCTTGGCCTACTGCCTTTTCTCTCCTCCAAGGCCTGTCAGAAATCTTTAAGAAAATCCAAGAGCAGTTTTCATACTGTATTTACATAAACAGATCCACTTACATAAGGAAACTGAGTATCAGATTTCCTTAAATATAAAACATACTAGCTAGGCGTGGTGGTACATGGCTGTAGTCCCAGCACTTGGGAGGCTGAAGCTGGAGGATCACTGCAAGTTCAACACTAGCCACAGTTACATAATGAACTCAAGGCCAGCCTGAACTTCACAGTGAGACCTTGTCTTGAAAGAAGGAAGGAAGGAAAGGAGGAAGAAAGAGAAAACTAGCAAGCAAGCTAACTAGCTAGCTTTTAAAATATAACAAACTTTCACAAATAGCATGTATTTATTAAATAATTCTTTCAAATTCATTCAAAACGAGTACAAAGAGACAAAATATTTTCAAAATTCATTCAAAATATTAAAAGAATGGCTCCAGTTATATAATTATTCCATCTGAGAAGCACAAAGTTGTCTAAGCAAGAAATATGGCACATAATGTGTCAGAAAACTGCACATGAAAGGAACAGACCACCTGACCACAGGGTCACAGACAAACATTTCTAATTCATCTTCTCAACAAATACTACTGCAATTCAGGTATTTATTACTTTATGTAATGAATGACAGATGGCTTTTTGGTTGTCTTAAAAAGTATTATTTGCAAAATAGGCTTTAACTAAATTTCCAAAAAGAATGGTAAATATCCAGCAATAGGACTGGTTTGTATGTTACTTCTTTCTCACAATAGCAACTTCAGTAAGCAAAAGCCCAAAAAGGTATTCTCTCACATCTATACAAGAAACTATCATTCATTATACCTAAAGAACTTTTCTTTAGTTGACAATGGGAAGACCCTGATGGCGAGAAACCCAGCATTCCCAACTATGAACTTTCTGCTTGGGAAAAATGAATCTTTAATAATAAGAGGATTTATACTGAGATTCACCAACAACCTTTTGTATGATGCATCCCCAAGAGCCCCCTGCTGCTGGAGCTAAAATCTAGGGCTATACATGATAGGCAAGTGATCTATAATGAGTTCATACAAAAATACCTGATTTTCAACACAGCTTTATGGACATGAACATATTTCCCATCAATTCGAAACTTCAGATCAGCAGTTTCTGGACTATCAAATTCTTTCTTCAGTGACTCTGCAACTGTTAAAAAGTCTTCATGCTCTGAAGGCAGCAGACACAGTATTAATACACAATGCTCAGGAGATAGAGCAAAATATGAAAGATGTCCAAAAGACCAGTAGCAGCATGGTAAATCATTCCGCTTAAGGTATTTTCAAGAGTCCATGCCTTATTTGAAAAATCAATTTCACAAAATAAGTATCTTTCATCTTTAAACTACCAACAACAGCAAAAAACAAAAGCCAACCATTACCAACAAAACAAGTAGTTACAAAAGCTATAAACACTTTTACATGCTTAGACATGAGAAATGGGTTTTTAAAATTTTGGGTAATCCAGGAGGAGGCAATCACTGAAAACTTGAGTGTTCTCTTCTACAACTACAAACATGTCAATTTTTCTCTACTGAAACACAAAGAACAACTCTGCTCTATTTTGAGTTAGTTTCAAGGAGGACCAAAAAGCAAACCTAAGACCAGGCAGTAATACTAAGTGGTCAGGTTCCTAAGCAGGGCCACTTTTGCCTAGTCATCTGAAAGCTAAGTACCTTTTTTTTTTTTTTTTTTAACAATTTTATTGAGAAACAAATAGCAATGAAACAGTTTGAAAACCGATGAGTAGAACAGTTTCAATAATGAATACATTGCATATTGTTGTGTTCTTAGTGGTTATTAAGCATCTATCTTAACCTAAGTATCAATATATAACCATCAATTCTTCCACACTATCTATAAAGAGTGAATTTACATAGCATATGCATAGTATAAACAGCTTTATAAGAAAAATTGATCACCTGACCTGGAATACATAAGTAGATTCTAACAACTGTACAAATCGTGGAACATTTCCTTTACATGTGCTTTGTATGAAAGAAGGTAAAAAGTAGAAAGTGGCTAATAGGGAAATAAATTCCAGAGGTCCTTACTGGGCACCAAAAATAGCTGCTATAGACATAAGAGATAGTTTTGACTGCCCAGGAGCTAAAAACAGTGATTTAGCCAAAGAGCTCAGCTGTTCAAGCACAGAAAAATGTGTTACCTGATAGCTTGGTATTTATAAAAGCAATTACCAATTACCAAGGCAATTCTTAGAGTAGGTACATGAGCTAAAACTTAGGCTGGAACTTAGAAAACGAGCATGGAAACATGACTTGCCAAAGCCCCGTGACCTCAACCTACAACCCACCTTAAACCCCACAATACAGAGTTCTTCTGCCCATGGACAAATACTAGAAAGCTTCTCATAAATCAGTCTTCCCCTGACCTAGAACCTGAACCACTGTAAGAGAAAAAGAAATGACTGTGACAGGCAGAGTCCAGAGGTCCAGGTGCATATCCCACCTATCCAAAGCACAGGTTCTCACTTGTGCCTCCCCTCTGTGTTCAGTCACAGGATTGAAGTGAACCTTTCCCCCTCCTCTTTGTTTCTGGCAATAAGGATAATACCTCCTTTCAAAGAAGAAATATTCCTCAAAGGTATGAATTCACCATTTGACCTTCTTCCTAACATTCAGCTGAGATCATAACTGAAAAGGAAAAACACTTCTGACTTCCAGTGGCTGAAAAGGGAACGAAGCCATCTAAGAAATATAGTCAATGACCACAGTTTCTTCCAAATTTAACAATAAAAATGTCAGGATACTGTTCTGAAGAGAATGTGTGCCATTTTAGGATGAGCCCTTTTATATATGGGTCCAGGGGTCCAGGTTAAGTAAGATATAGAAATCTCAGGCTGTGTCCTATAGAGGTCCTGTGGATGTGCATGCTGCACACACTGTATACACAATTATGGCTAAAAGGCCCAACTCAGTAAACTAAATATTTTCTAAATATATTTATTGATATACATAGTATTATAGATAAAACTGGTAAAATGAATGTAAAGGAAATGTTCGGTTGTTTCACTTTAAGCTTACCAATAACTTAACTCTCCCTAAATATACTCTAACCTAACTTCATGACAGGGGCAGTGTATATGTGTGACAGTATGAGGTCTTCTGGAGTGATGAAAACATTTTGGAACTTGATATAATGGACATATAATATTAAGAATATAGTAAATGTGAATGCATTATGCACTTTAAAATGACTTTTATATACATTTGATCTCAATTATAATGAAAGCACTTATAAACTTATAAAGAAAAATGTCCATGGAATATTTCATGACATATAAATAAACATGACTATTACTGGGGAAAATACTAAAGCTAGTGGAGACTAAAACATTCTAGTACCACAATTGGCTAATAAGCTGGATTTGGTATTTACTGAGTAGATGGTACCACTCTTCCTGGGTACATGAAGCACAAAGCATTCTTACCTACAGACAAAAGGCGCCAGGTGACAGCAGGTGTAGCACAACAGGCAAACACGTCATCAGTGCAGGAGAAGTGGGTGAGGTGAGGGAGGATCACCGACTGGCCCCGGCACTGGCCCCACATGTACACGTGCCCGCCCTGGGTCTTGGCGGCAGACGTGTGGGCGGAGTGACAGGCTGCAATTTCTATCACCCTGAAAAGATTTAAGCAAGATGCATGTCACTTTCTTACCACAAAAACCTTCAGCGCACTACTCATGGGAACTAAAAAGTTCATGCTTTGAACAACTCAAAAAGCCCAGGATTGGGATATTAGCAGCTAAGTCACACCAAGAAAGTCAAAGAGAAGGCAAGAGCACTGTAACTCTCCCTTCCTGCAGCCTTCTCTTTCACCTATGTGCATTCTGAGTGAGGATGAACAACAGTAACAGTGAGGAAACCTCAGAAAAGCAGATCAAAGTAAATGGAAAAAGTGGACACTGGTAAAATGTCCTGACTGTTCTGGGGGCCCAAGCAGTACTGAGAAAAAAAAAAAAATACTATAAATACTTCAATATACCATTTCCTTGTATCTCTCACATCCTGCCAGAGCTCAGAACACTCAAGAAGCTGGTAAGCACTGGTTCAGGGATCAAGGACTCTGAATATTCCAATCTTAAGGAAGAGCAGGCCGAATCTGATGCACCCTGTAGTGTGTTTCTTGCCACAGTGTTGCAATCAAGACTTAGTGGAAAAGACCTCACAAGGTAGTTCAATACACATTAAGCCAGTACTCTAATAGTACACAGTAAGTCAAATCAATATTCAACAGTGTCCTTTTTAAAAGGTCTTATGTATTTAAAAGTGGAATTAGTAGGCTCTAAAGAAAAGTGCATACTATACTTTGAATTTCAACACAGTCACAGATTCTTATTGACTGCCCCATGCAATGAACACCACCAAACTTCAAAAGCACTGGTCAGCCTCACACTCATTCTAGCTGGTAGTGAAACCTAGTTCAAAATGGGAATGGTAATCAACGGTACAGTCACAAAGCCCAACATACACAGGTTCAAGTCCACAACACACACGCTGTCCCAAAACACAGCACAGCCATTAAATTACCTTTCTTTCTCCACCATGATGTGTGCCGGGCTTAGCAGGTTATTTTTATTACCAGTTCCCAGCTGCCCATACGTGTTAGCTCCCCAGGCATAGAGCAAGCCCTCATCTGTTAGTGCAAGAGTATGCGCATAGCCGCAGACAATCTGCAAGTAAACGTAAATGGTTACCATTATCAGGAAAATAGGAGGCCATTATCAGGAAAATAGGAGGAAGAGCAGAGGCACATCAACCTAAAGGATGCAGCCAGCCTCTGCAAAATGCCAGTCCACTACCAGATGCAGACTGACATTTATTTGCTGGAACATGAAAAACTATTAGGCAAGACCAGCTCTTACACTCTTAGATTTTTCCATCAGTTTAATTTACCAAGTCTAATGTGCCAACACCACAAGCTTCTTTTTCTTCATGGGATTCAGGGAAGACACAATACGTGAAAGATGCACAATACAGCACAAGAAAAGAACATCAGAAAATGACAAAAACAGTACACCTCCAATATATGTCCAAGTCAAAGCAAGAAAAGGGACAAGTGCTAGCTGGCAAGATGCTGCCACACATACCTGGTTCACACACACACTGTGCAAAGCTGCCACTCTCATGGGGGTTAGCTGGTTGCCATTGTTTCCCAAACCCAGCTGGCCATTGCCATTGTAGCCCCAGCCATAGACCTGGAAGAAGAGACAGGAGCTCTGAGAACTGCAGTAAGAAGTGGAAATCCAGGCTGTCCGAACACATCAGGTGTGCTAATCTGGTATCCAATTCCATGTGATCCTCTAATTGGTATTCAGATAGAAGGTACTTTGGAGGGGATGAACGAATCAGTGCCCCTTCCATGTTTCTGGATAGACAGCTATAGGGAAGTTCCTCATTCCTACTCTATAGATGAGGAACCTGCAGGTTATGAACAATTATTAAGCAACATTGTTATGGTTTGTGTATAGGTGTCCCCTCCCCCAAAAAGCCTCATGCAGTCATGGGGCAGCTTCTGGAGTTTGTGATTGATTACTGTAGGTGTGGATGCTGCACCTGCCCTGGGACAGGTGATCTGCATTACAATGTAAGATGACAAGAGAAGTTAGCTGCTTGAGCTGCTGCTACCTCTCCCTTTCACTCTTTTGCTCTTTGCAGCCACCAACAAAGGCTGTTCCCTGCTATGTGCTGCTGTGCCTTGGAGCCAGCTGAATATGAACTGAACCCTCCAGTAACTGTGAGCTAAATAAACCTTTTCTTCCTTCATTTTGGGTGTCAGGTATTTGTCCCAGCAATGAGAGAAGAGTAACTAAGACAATCATTATATGTCAAGACACCTTGAAAAGTACTTAAAATAAGTCTTTGAGATGGCTGTGCTGGTGCATACCTACAATCCCAGCACTCAGGAGGGTCAGGAGGATCCTTGTGAGTTCAAGGCCAGCCTGGGCCACAAAGTGAACTCAAGGCCAGCCTGAACTGTGGCAAGATCCTGTCTCAAAAAGACAAAAACTAAAAAAACAAAAATAAGTCTTCGATCACAACAAAGGATATAGACACATGAAAAAATTTGCAGACAAATAGTAAAAGCTATAATAGAGAAATAACAACAAGAATAGTAGGAAAGAAAGTTTGGAGACGATCCCTCAACCTGGCTTACTTTCTAGAAAGTGGAGTGCTGAGCAGGGCTAAAGGATGAATGAGGGTGAAGGGATTTCAGGCAGATGACACAGAATATATTAGAGGAAGAGAGAAAAGACAGGTGGGCCCGGCTGGACACATATGGGATAGTGGTGGGACAAAAGACTAAAAGGAAAAGGGGGGAGGACAAGTAGGAAGAGACAGAAAATACACGACCAAAGTTGAATGTATCTAAACTGAAATATTTTAAAATAGAGAAATTTAATTAAATTTGCAGTTGTGAAAGATCACAATGGACACAACAAAAAGGGTGACAGATGTACAAGACTAGAGGCAGAAGGACCACTAATAGCTAATTTCATTTTCCCTCAGCAAACAGGTGAGCTCTGGTGACAGTGTGAAAAAAGTGAGAAGGGTCCAAGCAAAGACAGACAAATGAGGTCTCTCAGATGTCTAGAATGAGCGGGCTTCACTGGAAGGCTAAAGGTTTAGAATAGCTAATGTGGGAGATGTAAAAGAACTAGCTAGGAAGATAAAACAAGGTCTGGCTCAAATTAGAAACCTAAGACTTGCAGTGACACTAAGCCCCATAGCAGTGTAGACAGATGTACACTGGGGCTTTTCAGGGCAATTTGACAAAGGAAAGAGCCATGAACTTCAGTGTCCTAGCTAGAAAGTTAAAGATGCTGTCATCCCATGTCAGACTTGTATGACGAATGAATTTTCTGGAGAGAAATTTGGCAACAAATATTAATATTTGAATGGCATACTTCTTTGCCCAAAAATGTTGTTTCTGGGGATTTATTCCACAGGAAAACTTACACAAAGTATACAAAGATACATAGTAAAACAGAAAATCTGTGCTCCATTGTTGGCAACAGAAAAAGTACAAGCAATTGAAATGCCTATTAACAGAACTATGGATGTGGTCATCCCGGGGTAGTCACAAATGGTCTGATAATCCAGTACATGTAAGTAATATGCTTTTGGGGGTGGGGGTAGGGAGGCAAGTTATGGACAGAACAGAAAAGCAGTAATGTACAGCCATCCATGAAAACAGTGACATAATAGTACTTATCCACATTAATTGTTTAGAGAAAAGCCCAAAGGTCATATATACTACTAATAAGACTGGGGAAAGGGACAAGATCTTGGTAGGCAGTTCAGGATGGCCTTAAACTCACTAGGTAACCCAGACTGGCCTCAAACTCACAGCAATCCTCCTGCCTTAGCCTCCCAAGGGCTGGGATTACAAGCATGTGCCACCATACTTGTTTTACATTCATTTTTAAAAAATAAAAAGGAAAAAAAATAAATAAATAAAAAGGAGTGAAAAACACTAGAATAAAGGATATCAGATGGCAATCCAAAGGAATTCTGATTAGATCCTGTCATCAGGATGAGAGCAGCATTAAAGTCAAACAAGGTGAGCACACAATAAATAAAGCACTCCAGTACTACAACACCTGAGTCCATTAAGATGTTTCCAAAAACTCTCTGCTTATAGTTTCCATGCACTAAGAAATGCATAGTGGTAAGTGGCCCATGAAAGCAGAAGGTGCAACCAGAAATACTTTCACAGAAATAACCCGTAGTTCAAAGGTGACCACAGAGGAAGGTAACTGAAAGGTTAGTTTTTAAAAATATAAAACAAAAAGTTCTGACTTAGGAAGTTGCTTCTTTCTATGAAGACATTCAAATCAGACACAGTGCTACAAAATCTTTGTCAGCTAACTTTAACTGTACAGTTAACTTTTCCACTGGAAGACAAAGGTGATAACAAATTTTTCAATCCATTATATCAAACTACAAATACCTCTAAGCATTACATCGTCCTTGCAAAAAAATAAAGTTTAGCAGTGCTAGAATCTTTATTTGCAAACAAACCTAGGGATTTAAAGGAGTCACTCTGAAAAACGAGTATCATCTGACTGATGATAAATCAGCTACAAGGGAAGCTAGCACAGGCGTTTCACTTTAAGAGGGCAGATATGTAAACAGGTGCAGCAGGGCCTCACCTCACCACTATCCAGAACAGCCATGGAGGAGGTCTGACCACAGGCAATGCCAACTACCCTCTTAATATGTAAACAGTTGGTAACCTTTCGAGGAGTTGGTTGATTTGCTGTAGATCCTGATCCCACCTGGCCACAGTTGTTATAGCCCCAAGCAAATACCTACAAGAGAATGGAAAAATTAAAATGCATACTTAGGATGTGTGTAGTAGTTCTAAATGTTTTATATGCATTTCACTTATTTCATCCTCACAATAATTCTGAAAAGTAACCCACAAGGATAAATATATGGAAACTGAAACACGGTTTTATATACGGAAACTGAAACAGGGTTTTCAACTGCTTTGGGTTCCAAAACCAGTAAACAAGACAAGTGAAGGCCAAGCATCTCACTATGCTCTTAACCACTGTGCCCTAATTATGCAAGCATACATGTTTTTATTCTGGCATTCATGAGAAATGAAGCATATGCATAGAAGTATCAGTGATGTAAAAAACTCTGCTCAGGGCTGGTGAGGTAACTCAGTGGACTAAGTGCCTAGGAAGGCAAAGCACAAGACCGGGGTTCAATCCCTGGGCACCACATGCCACACCAGCCCTGCCCCTGGGTGCACTGAGCCAGCCACTGAGACCTGGTGTGGTGGTGCATGCCTGTAATCCCAGCACTGGGGAGGCTGAAAACAGGAAAATCACTACAAGTCTGAGGTGAGATCCTGTACCAAATACATAAATTAAAAAAAAAAAAAAAAAAATCTGGGGCCGGCCAGATAGCTCAGTGGATTAAGACACCTGCTTAGGCAGATGCAGGGACTGAGATCTGATCCCTGGAATGCCTGTCAGCCCCTCCCTCGGGGCATGCTGAGATGGTGATTGAGACTGGGCGAGGTGGTGCGCACCTGTAATCCCAGCACTTGCGAGGCTAAAAACAGGAGGATCACTACCAGTCCGATCTGTGTAGTGAAACCCTGCAGATCCTGTACTAAAAAAAAAAAAAAAAAAAAAAAAAAAAAAAATCTGCTCAATACTATTCATTGTTTTTCATAGAAACACTTTGAAACCATACTGTCTTACTAGTCTATAATTCTGGGCCTTCACAGCCTGCCTGTGATGACACAGCATCATCATGCTGGGTTAGTCCTACCCTTGTGAATAATGCACACAAGTGCTGGGATGTCTGTCCCTACAGAAGTGACACCTGAATGAGGCTCTGCTTGGTGAGATTTACTCTCTCATTTGCTGTCAACTTCAGATAGCTTCCTTCTTCAACTGCATCTCATGCCAATTTTTGACCTATTATCTGCCATCACTTGGAAGAAAAAAAATTATATATTAATATATA